AGCTAAGCGAAAGAATACAGAGTGGTTTAGAATTTCAAACTACCCAGGTGCATAATCCAGGGACAAATTCCATTCTTTTTTAATGGCAACAAAACAAAGGAAAGTTTTCTAAAATCAAATTAGCACCCATCGAAAAATTTCAGATGAGTGTACAATGGTCAAGAATTGAACGGATGAGAACGCTGACGGCTCGCTGCCCCGCAACAGCTTGTTCCTCTCAAAATTGCAGGAGTCCTTCAACAATTATCAAAGATTTGCAATTTCTGGAGTTGGTGGAATGAATGAGCTTTGAATTGGAACAATATAAAAATGCGGCTTCGCCCGTAACCCGTATTTCCCAATAACAACAAGTGTCAAAGATAATGGAAGATACCGCTGTGGCGGATCATTAATTTCAGGTACGTTAGCATCCTTAACTAATACGTAATTATCCTTCCTTCGCGCCACACATCCTGACAGTACTATAATCACTGCCTGAAAACAAAAAAAAAAAAGAGACAGATTATACTTAGGAGGAACACCGGGACCGTGTAACTCGGGCTAAATGGCATACCATAATAAAGAAGACCGAAATTTCAGATAAAACAACACTGGATGATAGAATGCGAGACGCCACCAGCATATACAATGAACATTTATAAAATGATGCATAATCAATGGAAAATTTCCATTTTATATTGTGACACATCTTCCGAGCAATTAGCAACGGAAATTACTAGAACTCGGCCCAGTTCAGCCGTTACCCCAACCGCCTCGCTAACGCTATTTCGCCGTCAGTCTCGTCGGCGCCGCTTAGCACTTTGCCAGGTGTGTCGGGTAGCGATACCCCGCGTACCCGCAGCAAAAACCAGCAGCACGGTCTCTCCTCCTTTCCACCGATCACCTCTCTTTCTCCCTCCTACGTGGCCACCAAACATAACCACTCAATCCATACTATCAACCCCCTCCCACTACATCCAACCCCCGCTCCCAGAACCCCGCACGCGTCCTCCCCCTCCATCACCACACCATCCGTAGCAGAAATACACTCGCAACTGTGGGGCCAAGCTGACCCGAAAAAATCGTTCACAGACCGTGTACTGATCCGCCGAGTTGAGGTGAGTTTCAATAATTGCCTGCAGCGACACAACCACTCATATACAGATAAGTCTCATGAATAATATTACTTGCCTACTGCTTTCACATGACTATTTGCTTTTGCCCAATCAATAATCAGCAGTACGGGGGAGAGGAGTTTGGTCTAATGTATTTACAAGCAAATTACATCAAGGCCGAAGAAATGCTTCAAGAATTGCAACAATCAGCCGATCAAAACACAGCTAGCGATGCACCAGACTTGTGATCATGCGTTTTTGCGCTAAACTTAAAGCAATCAAGTCGTTAACAATAATGAATGGTTGTTGTTTTAGATTTAAATTTGCACTCATTACCACAAACTGTTGTAAATATTGCATGAAGGAAAATAAGCAATTTCCGGTAACCGGTCGTTCACTGAAAAATATGACCTAGCTATTCTGGTTCCCGAGTTTGCATATTTTCCCCCAAAAATTTCAAGTGTCCGTAAGTGAGACGCAGACATGCCTGAAAGTTTATATAACGTTTTGGGGATCGCACCTGATCAAAAGGCTCACTGATAAAATTTTAGCATCAAAATCTGCTTGACTGCCTTGTACACAGCTCGGTGCTGCTGTTCGAAAATGCTGCAAAAATGCGCAATATTTCATCTGTTAATTTTTACCTTCATAAATGCTGGGAAATCTGAGTAAAAGCAATAAAAATGTGTACACTTCAGTTCGTAGTTCACGCGCCTGATGTAAATCGATTTGATGTAAGCCGACAGCTCGAATGCACTGTAGGTACCGTAACCAGTCCCGCAACAATCATCGTTCTATACCGATTCATCGTGGAGACTGCAAAAATTCACATCTCAAACAGAAATCGGTTAAAGGATGAGGACTGGCGGTCCATAC